TTTTGCTCTTGCTGGATGAATTTATATGAAAACTGTTGTTCGACGTTGTTCTTGAGCATTTACTGATTGTTGTGTGACAGGACGCTTAGATACATGGTTCATGAAATGATTATTTGGCATACCGAATAAGCTTCGCGTACATTTCGACGACTGTCTTTCGATTTATTTCTTTGCAGCTTGGTGGAAACCTGTACTCGATAGTAAATTTCCTTATCAGCTGTAGTGCAGTACTTATTTCTTTTTTATTTCTTTTCATTTTGTTGTAGCTTGATTCCACCAGGACATCTGAGATGTACGTCATTTTGTCCTATTATTGTGTTTGGTTTCATAAACTTCTGCTTTTTGCCTTTGTCCTAACGTCATATAATTTGCGTTTGTTCAAAGTCAATTCGCAGAATTATTTTGGAATCGTGTAGAAGTAGTGTCCGACATCAATTAAAGCTATGGACGTAGGGTTTAGAATCGGTTGCTATATCCACTTAGGGAGGATCCATCTATGTCTGCAAGTGAGGGCTTTGCATCACAGAACTCAGTACAGAAGTGCAGCAGTTCAATTTGTTACATTCCACACTTGGAAAATATTATATTTAGTTGGTAATAAGCAAATCGTATTTCATCAGATGTGTTTCGACTTCGCATTTGGGCTAAGGGATAAAATAAACTAACTTAGGAGATATAACGAGACAGAGTGTGAGAGTTATCTCGGATAAAAGGATAAATCATTTTAAGGTAACTTTTTTCAGTTAGACAGGAACCAAATGAAAAGAATGCGATTATCATTTGTTGACATTTCGCTTATTTTTATTCACGTTTTGGCATTTCGTTATACCTAGGCTATATATCATTCTGACAGACTTTCAACATAGAAGCTTGCACACAAGTGCACCCGTTTAGGTTATCACATTCCATGTATCACACAAAGGTAGATAAAAAAGAAATTATATAGAACTTTAATGAGCATAAATGTGATGGAAAAAGAACAGTGATAGTGAAAAAGCATAATGATTGCTCAGATATGTGAGATTACACAGAGTGAATGCATCTCTGTCATTAACAACGTTTGAAGGCACATTTCTACTTAACACTAAACTTAACCCCAATATTACTCACCATATTAGACTACTTAACTCAGACATTACGATCAAAAACCAGTAGTCTTTCCATATCTTCCAGTTTCAATGGTTCCCTTCTCACACCCTAAGTAGACAATATCATCAGCATACACTAATTTGACGAGACTGTTCCCTGGTAAGTCCCTAAAGCGAGTGACAGACAATTCTGTTAATACGTGAGTGATGAAAGTGAACTAAAATAAGGACGACAGTTGTAGAAACGAGCCTTGTATTACATCCTTCTTGGAAATATCAGTTCCTTCATAGCTTACTTTCAGTATTGAGTGAATGGAATGCAATCTACAGATTCATGAAATTCACATAATGACGTATTACTTTTCCAGAATCTCAGTTAATGTCTCCTTAGTAAAGTGAGAAATGGGTATTATACTTGTGTAAACTCAATAGGCTGTGAGCTGCTGCCAATGAAAACGACAACAATTCTTGGATCGCATGCAACATTCAGCAGCTGTTAAATGGCTACTTGATGAACTTCGAATCCATACAGATAGCGCAGAAGATTTAGTACAACATGCACACACCTGATTTCGCTATGAAGCATGCATGCCAAATGCATTACTTTAGGGGCCTACACAATTCACAAATTAACCCACAGCACTGAAGTGGAAAAATTCATACTTGTCCTTACTGAGCTTAATATAGTGAATGTTGTGAAGTAATTTTCTTATGCAGAAGAGAAGAGCAAGGTATTCATAATCTTTTGCTACATGTGGAATCGCAGTGCAACTCGATGCGCAATAGTACATATACGAAATACCTTCAGAACAACTTTTCCTTATTCCAGGATAATAACTTTCTTTCACCTATGAGCCTAAGTTACGTCCATGAAATCGCAATATTTCATCATTTAATCTTCCTCCAAAATCAAGGCCACTTGAAACCCATAGCAACACAGCAACGGACATCGTAGCGGGGATATGCGATAGAGCAACTCATTTACTCTGTGATGGTGCTAACACCACAGAAGGAGGATGCCGTTGGCATCAGGTGCCCTTCGCCTCTAGGCAGCGGTGACCATGCAGTTATCTCTCCTACTTTCAAGATTCACGCTGTCATACATAGGTCAAAAGCTACTCATTCAGACTTTTGGAAAGCGAATGTACCTGCAATCGGAAATGCAACAACCGTAGCTGACTGGTCAGCTGACACACACCAGACTAGAGGAAGCTTAGATGGAGTTTAGGAATACACCGGATTATGTCACTTCACCCTATGTTACTTAGTCTACGCCTGGAAAACTGTCGCATAAACAACCTTGGATTAGTAATGAAATAAGGAGGCTATTAAGTAAACGAAATAACTTATGGGACCGGTTTATTGTGACTGGTTGGGATGAGTTTCGGACGGAATACCAGAAAATTCGAAACCTTTGTAAGTATATGATTGACAGAAGTCAAATTGAGTATGAAAGGCAGTAAGTACTAGGATGTGTACATTACTGAGAAAGACTGCTCTCGTATACCAAGTGTAGGTCTGAAACTAGTAGTGGTACACTATCTCTCATAAGCATTACTGGAGAAGCGGCCGAGTCAGATGAAGCAAAAGCTGAAAACCTCTAGGACTACTTATGTGATGTCTCCTCTCCTAATCGTACCACTTAGAGGTATGCGAGGTCACTGTCGTCGCCACTAAAATGTCCTCAACTGTGACAGAGGGTGCAGTGGTTCTTAAACTACTGTCTAAACTGAAGCCAAGTTATTCACCTGAAGCTGACAGACTTCACCCAAGACTGTTAATCTCCTTGGCGGATATAATGTACACTCCACTTACGGAGATTTCTCAGATGTCTCTGACTAAGGCTAGACTATCCAGAGGCTGGAAGGATGCAATTCTACGTCCTATCCTCAAAGAGAGGAACAGGCAATTGGTTCCTAAATAGCAGTCTGGAAGCCTGACCTGCATTATACCAAGGTACTAGAAATAATCATAACGGATCAGCTATTAGCTCAAATGGAGGAACATGGCTTACTGACAGTGAAACAATATGGATTCTGACGAACGAACCGGGACGAACCTGCCTGGCACACCTACTATCAGACTGGGTCGAAGACACGGACGTCGTTTTAATTGATCTTATTGAAAAATTCGACAAAGTATCCCATTTAGGTCTTCTGGGTAAACGAAAAGGTTTCGGGTTGAACCAACACCTATGTGAGTGGTTTAGGAAGTGCGGAATAGATAGGAGACAGAAGGTCACGGTTAACGATGTACTGTCAGGGTGGAATGCAGTACTGAAGAGAGTAACCCAGAGAACTCTACTAGATCCCCTGCTATCCCTATTATAGGTAAATGAACTGCCGGAAATTCTCACCTCATCCTCCTGATTATATGCGGACGATATTAAGATATGGAAAACCAAATAACAGCGGTGAAAGGTTTGTATTACAGAGTGGTCTAGATAAATTAGCTGAATGGGCTAACCTCTGGAGTCTGTATATAAATTCCAAGAAAAGCGCTGTAATGCACCTAAGTCAGAGGTCTTACACATCGTACTCCCTGAGGGACACGTAACTACCAGAAATTGAGGGAAAAACGGCTCGAGAATTGTTGTAAGCCAACGGCAAATGGTAATAGAGCCGCAGCTAAGGCTTTTCGAATGTTATGGGCACTTCGAAGGGCTTTCAAACGATTAGACGAGTCTGTGTTCTGAGCACTCTACACAACATATGTCAGGCCTCACCTAGAATACTGCGTACAATCAGTGAGTACATGCTGCAAGAGGAAGGCAGACATCTTGGAAAGAGTACTGAGGGTATGAACCAAATTAGTTAGTGGTATCTCTCACCTTCCTTATGACAAGAGGATGGAGTGTTTAAATCTCTTCTCATTATCACACCGAAAGAGGAGCGACTTAATTTTGGCATGCATTATAATAAACTGTGATTTAGGCATTGACCTTTCCAGTATTTTCCAGTACATTTACGAGGTCATCACAGAAAGGAGCTAAACCCAGGAAGAATATAATACGTGTGGAATATAGATTCTCTCACAGAGTGACCAACCTGATTCGGTGAACACTTTCAAAGAGAAATTAAATCTCTGCAGAGGCATACCTTGCAAGGATTAACATAAGCAACAAGACCCTACTATCCTTATTATCTGAATATGAACCTGGAATTATTCACAGAAAGTCCGAGTTCATTTGGTAGTACCATTATGGTTTATTTATCTTCAGGATTTCTTTGAAAATAAGTTGAACATCGCTGGTGTTGTTTTTGTGGCAATTAATATGCATAATGCCTGAAGACTGGAAACAATGTACCACTATAATGTTGGATATTGACGAATAGCGCTCGTTTTGGAAGTTTTGTTCATCAGCTGACTTTCGGTAAAGATGGTGACCTGCGCTGTTAACTGATAACATGTAGTATTTAGTACTTTGCTTTCCGCATAATAACTGTAAAAGACGAACTGCTTAATGAAAGTTGACACTAATATTGGCTTCAGCCGACTTCCTGAAATTCTGTGCAGTTAAATATTTTATCTTCGTGACAAAACTGTATTGCATTTGTCCCAACCATGATAAGCCTAGGAGCTTACGAATATAACCCAGCAGATGTTCTGGGTAATGGGGCATTCGCCATTGTGTATAAAGGAAGAGTTAGAAACGTAAGATGTAACACTAACGTTATAATTTTCTGCAAAGAATCCAGATGAACTCGTTGCAATAAAAATTATGTTGAAAGACCAGAATGTCTTAAAATCAAAGACGCTTCTTAGCAAGGAAATATGTGTTCTGAAGGTTGGTTTATTTCATTTTTTTCATTTATCCCCCCACAGGACCTAAATCATGAAAATATTGTACGACTTTATGATCATAGCGTATGTTCCATCATTGGGTAACTATTTCATTTCTCAGATATCTAGCAATGGAGTATATTTAGTGATGGAGTATTGTAATGGTGGTGATCTCTCTGAATATCTACAAGGTAAATGATAGTTATTCAGTAGTTTAAATTGATATCCAGCCAAGCGCACCTTACCGGAAGATACAATCCGTCACTTTCTGATACAAATCGGTTCAGCTATGGACGCTATGAACAGGAAAGGTTTCATGCACAGAGATTTAAAACCGGGTAATATCTTGCTCAGTCACTGCAGGGACTGTGGTAAACATGTTACAGCCATTCCTGGTTACCTTCTCTCCTTCAAGCTAGGTAAGAATACATCTTATGCTAAGCATTTTCTTGCCATAAAGTATGAGTTTAATCAGTACTCAAAAAATTGATAATGTTTTTGATCTCTAGTGAAAATTTTCCTGTATTTTTTAACATAGAATATAGGTGAATGTGTGTGCAGCCTTAACTTCATACAGGAACTGGTTAATGTTTAAATTCTGTAAGTGTACACTCATAAGTTGTAATTAGGGATATACAAAGTCGGTTTATGACTAAATCTTGGTGACCGTACAAACATTACCTTGATGTAATCATCTTAGAATTGCAGCTGAAAAAGTATATGAGATTACTTGGCCGGCATTTGGTATGCAGGTTTGAAGAAGCATCTCATCACTTCACTCCACACGTTTAGGAGAGAAGTACTTTTACGTTCTGCAGCATTCTGTCGTCTGACAAGAAGTGAGTGCCGAAAGTACTAAGATTTTCTCAGGGCGTTTAGGAAACATTTCTTATTTAAAAAACTTGCTAACCATAAATCGCCTGGCGCTTTCCCTTATGAAACGTCATTTTATGAAAAGTTGTGGTAAAAATAGATCAACTTTAACCAGTACATCTACATTAAAACTACATAAGAATGGTGGATTTCTACTAGCTTTCACTTGGCTACGGGATTTTGAGTAAAATTCCATAATTGGCGTTATATATTTTCATCACTTCCGTCACAATCAGACATTTAATAACATCACACTATGGCTTATAATTCATCCAATCTACTGAAGATCTTGTGACAAATTGACAGTTGCTTACTCAGCACAACTGTCTTCTTTGTTTTTAACTGGTAGTGAAACAAGCACAGAAGTTACTATGACGAAGGACGTTTACTTTTGATTGTTGGTATATGATTGAGAAGTGCATCTGTCGCATTTTCACCAGTATTGAAACAGACAGAACTCTCGATTATGTAAAAAAAACGCAACTAAACAACCGTATGTAGGTTCACGGATCATGCAGTAAATAATAATTATTCATTAATAGTAATTAATTTCATCCTACATGTACTAATGGACTTGACCTTAATTCACTTCAGCGACCCACGGATTGATTTGTTACCAGGGAGTGATCTCGTTGACCCAGAATATGCTGATTATATAGTCTCCTTTCTGGGTGAAGATACTGACAAAATAGAGCACAGTCTTTTGAACACCTTCAGCAGTCAGCAATCTTCGAATTTTCGGCATGCGATTCCCTCCTGCTGTCAAATGTAATATAATACTTGCTACAGGACTGGACTGGACTACACTGACTCCTATCTTAAAGTTAGGGGGAGATGGTGAAGTGGTTGATGGAGCGTGTTGACCACTTCACTTATTCGTGGAGTTGTATCATCCCCAGCGGGTTGATTGCTGGTGAAATCTCAGCATGGATACAGAAGGCTTGTGTGGCATACGCCATCTCTGGTTTAGTAGACGTGATATCCGGCTGTCGACCAAGAGATGTGTGTACTGCTCAGCAGTTCGCTCTGTCCTCCTTTATGGCTGACTGGCTGTGAGACATAACCATTTAAAGTGTAACACAAAATCTTGCTTAGCTGTCTTTCATCATATATTTCTGCGTTCTCTCTCCCATGTTTGTTAGGTGGTGGTATAATAGAGTGAGCAATATTGAGGTTGGATATTGGTGGTCGAGTGCTAGGTAAGGGGAAGGGAATCAGTCGACGAGGTGGTTGTGAAGTTACATCGATTGAGAGAGATAATTAGGACATAGATTACGCATACGACCATGTAATGCCATCAATCGCCTTTCTCGATGACGAGCAACGTTAGCTGACTGACATAAGATAGAACAGGTTGGAAAAGAGTTAGTGGTGGTCAAACCATAACCGAAACATGGCTTCATCAGTCAATCAAATCTACAACAGCTAGTTTGAACCAACCAGTCACGTAGGTAGGTGCAGACTGTGTGACTAGATGGTTGGGTTCCTCGGGATGGTAAAACTAATGGTGGCTGGAGACAATTGGTGATATGGCTCAAAATGGTCATTGTCAATGGCTGTTACAGTTGCATTGACTCTTTGTGATTTATCATATCCAATAAAACTCTATTCTTTTTCCCTCTCTCACAATTCTGTTTGTTATGTGTCGCTAGAATCTCCATTTACTCTCTTCTCTTGCTTTGTGTGCTACAAGGAGGGCTGTGTGGCAAGTGAAACTTGTGCATATCTGTGCAAAATTTTATGTTGAAACCAGTCAGTCAGTATTTATGGTTCCTCCTTAAGGTATTGTCATAACACGAGAGTTGGTCTGATAGCTTTAGGCCAAAAAATTGGTTAATGTCGATTGTACTATAAAAGTTTGAAGACATGCCTCACTAGTGGCAGACAGCAATAAAGTGTCTTCCTCAGGTGATCAGAAAATCAACCTTGTTTTTATTTTAGTCTGTATACGAAGAACTAGTAAAGAATAATGCATAGACTGATCACAGTCTAAATGGAGTATAAGGTGATTTTCACCAGGCGTCATCAAGTTAACTATAAAGAGGTAAAAGTTCAGGTACAGTCATATCAGCACATGATTTTAATGTGCTTCTAGAAAAGCTCAACCATTAGGTCGAAATGCAAAGTCCCATGCAGATAAAATGGTAACAGTGATCATTTATTACATGATATTAGTTGGTTGTAGGCGATCAGCCCCGGGAAGCCTTACTCAACCTACGTTTCGTGCCATCTGGCACTCACCACCAGTCAGCAAGGCAGCGTATCTGCAACTTCGTGAAGGAAGGAATTCAAGTCTCTTCTGAGATTCGAACCGACGTCACTCAGTGTCGTCTGCAGTCAGAGACGTTACCACTGGGCTATTCGGGTTCCCGACTGATCACCTCTTTTAGTACTATGTTGGACACTTTGATTTCAGCACCGGATGGTGACGCGTGTTCAAGGGACACGAGTTCCCCTCTTCAAGGTTGCAGATATGCCGCTTTGCTGACTGGTGGTGAGTGCCAACTGGCACGAAACCTAAGTACTTCCCGGCAAGGCTTCCTGTGTCCGATTGCCTTCAACCATCTAATATCATAAAATCAATGTTCACCGTGATAGCCAGCTAGCTAGAATAGTGACCAAATTGGAAACCTGACCGATAGAATTCAGTCTGCACCAAAGAAAAGACTAGAAACATCACACTAGTTACTAACCACTGTCTAATCAAAGTGTGAAATTATTTATTACAATTTTGTCACACGGTCATTGACTTCAAAAGGTAGGGACAAACATTGCATTACTACTTGGAAGTCAACGATGAACCTTGTTGTTACAAGTCATGGGTGAAAAGAAACGCTGAAACATTCCTTCTTTTTCCGGAATACCGAAGTGGATTCCGACCGACCAATAATTAGTATATTTTTTTGTCTAAGGCTCAACAGGCATAGAAAACAAACAATGGCAAAATATTTTTACACTAAGATTATAGATGAGAATGTTACTGGGATAGAAGTGTGTTTTGCAGACACATCAAAGCTAAGGTCTCTGGATTATTATTTCGCTGCAAAATGTGAAGATTTAGCTCATTGGCTTCAGCTGTAGGTTTTCCGCCAATGGGTATCGGATTCGAATCCTGTTCCACTTACTTCACCCTGGGTATCTGAGTAGCATTATCAGGCCTCATACTGATAAATGTGGCTGTTAGCGTAGTCCATGAAAGACCTATTTAGGCTAACCAAGGTCAATCAATCACCAATAAAATGGGACAAGTGGTGCAGCTGCTGTATATAAAAAGTCTTCCGGAGTCAACAATGACAAAACAACTAGAACCATTCACATATTGTTATTCCTTAAAGATGAGGTTTTACAGGAACGTTGTATGTTGCAGTCCCAACTTCTCCATTTTTAATGGTGTTTGCCATCGGCTTTCGATGTGTCACTGATGATACCATTCATTACACCTCTCACATCACTTGTTTTTCTTAAAATTCAGTTAAGTGGATTAGATTTTTCATCTACCAGGCCTATTATTACACTCATCGTTTGAGTGTTACCCAGTTACCCAGATTGTGAATAGGTGAAGCGGGACTTGAACACGAGTCCAATTGACTGAAAGTCGAGTGCTACTTAGAAAAAAACATTGTTGCAATTTTTCTTTATTGCTTCTAACACCTGGAAGCTTTTGTTAATTTTGCGTACACATTTTGTGCTTCGCGAATGTGAACTCCATTCCATATTTCAGGGCATTCAGATAATATATATGTAAATGCAGAGTGACTGACTTGTTTCAACGTAGAACTTTGCACAGATCTGTACAAGTTCCACTTGCCACACAGCCCTCCTTGTAGCACACAAAGCAGGAGAAGAGAGTTAATGGAGATTCTAACGACACATAAAAAACAGAGGTGTGAGTGAAGGAAAAAGAGCAGTAATATGGGAAAACAATATAGTTTTATTGGATATTGTAAATCACAAAGAGTGAATGCATCCCCGCTGTCATTGATTGACAACGACGATTTTGAGCCATATCACCAATTGTCTCCAGCCTTCACTGTTTTGTATCATCCTGAGGACCCCAACCAGCCAGCCAGCCAGGCTGTCTACACCTCCCTACATGACTGGCTGGCTGGCTGACTTAAACTAACCCTCTTGTGGATTTCATTGACTGATGAAGCCATATTTTGGTTATGGTTTGACCACCACGAGCCAGCTCATTTCTAACCTGTTCCATCCTATGTGAGTCAGCTAACATTGCTCGTCATCAAGGAAGGTGGTCGATTGCATTACACAGTGGTATGCGTAACACATGTTCTAACCATCTCTCTCAATCGATGTAGTAGCTTCACAACCTCATTAAATAAAGAGTGTGAAATGCTGAGTCGTTAGAAGCCACCAATAACTTTTAAACATTATTATTGTTGTTTAACTTACAATTTCATGCTTTTATCATTTATAACTTACACTTATTATTAGATATTATTATTCCTTTTCATATAAACCTTTTTTCAATATTAATGAAAACATGCATCCATAAGATGGTGATGATGATAATGTCATTTAGTTGACTTCTCGTTTGTTTTGCTGTAGAAAATCTCTGTTAAAATAAGTTAACACTAGTGAAGCATCAAAAAAACTGCGCAACACTTACTAATTATCATGTCAATCCTTTTCACTTTGTAGTCTAATTAATAGTGATTATTTAAGCATAAGTTTATCCTGATATTTCCTGCTAATTGTTTATTTTTGGTGTATGCGTAATATGCTTGTTGCTAGTCTTCTTTATACATATTTATATATTATGAACAAATGGGTTTTTATCACATTTTAGTCACAGTTTCCCTTTCTTTTTAAAAATAAAATAAATTTCAGCTGACTTCGGATTCGCAAGGTTCTTACAAGATGGAATGATGGCGGTGACGATGTGTGGATCACCAATGTACATGGTGAGTTTGGATATTGTTGCAGAGTGAAAAGAATATTTTTTTGTTTACTGAATATATATAACGCCGACCATGCACATGGTCCGGGGTTCGATCCCCTGCCGGCGCATACCCGATATCTATGCTGAAAATTCCATACTTGTACTGAAAATATGGTGTGGAATCAAGCTGTAAATCAAAATTTAAAAAAATAAAATAAATTTACTGAGTGACTTTTCGGACACCGGTTTGTCGTTCATAATCATACCAGTTAGTTGTAAATGACACACAACTTCGGTACTCGATTTTTGTGGTTATCTCTCTTTCCTATCTGTTGTAAAGGTGATAGAATTATCCAAATGTCCTGGACAGGTGTTAAATCATTCCCAATTGCATGTATTCTCAATTGATTCGTTAGATAGGGATTCATTTAACAACATCTCTCCCTTCGTCCTCTTACATGAGGCTTTAGAACCACTTGTAACTCCACACAGCTGGCAGTCAGCTAATTATACAACTTGGCTGTACAAACTTCAGTAGGTTTAGGGGGGCTCGTACCTGTCACTCGTTGGAATCCGAGCGTCTAGACCAGTAAGTCAGTGTTAGTCTGCATTTCTCTAGATCTTTGTGTTCCGCTAATCTAATTGATTCTAACTTACTATTCTGATCTATGTATTTGACCTCATATTGATTGTAAAGTAATAGATAAACAAGATTATTTGGTTTGATAATAGGTTCTACAGAACTCCTTGATCGACATAATGCGTTTCTGAGTACATTTAAATGACACTTTTATTCCTGCCTTCTTAAGAATCCTACGTAAATTAGCAGTGATTCTGTTTTCGTGTGGTAAGGCTACTGGTGTTTTAAAGTCACCTCCACCCCTCTTCATGGTGTTCTCATCTTGATGTATATTTAACGGTCATGTCACTCTTATTGGTCACCTTATTTCATTCACATAGTCTGTATACTTCCGGATAAATTTGTCGGGGTAATTATCAAGTTTCAGAGCTTCTCTTATATGCCTTGCTTCCTTTGGTCTGTAAGCTTAGTATTATTGTTTCCTTTAGTTCCTAGAGGAACATAGGGCTTCAGCCGCACGTCTCCATTGTGTTCGGTTGTCCGCCAACGTTTTCATCATCTGGCTCCACTTCTGCCTAAATGCTTTCATCTCTTCTCATGACCTCCTTCTGAATGTCACCCTCGCACTGACGACCAACTAACTCCTCGCTTCCCATTCGGGTTCCACTCGAGTGATGGCCTGTCGTGTGATGTCACTCACTTGATGGTTTGTTTTCTCAGAGTATAGCCAATCCACCTCCATTTCTTCCTGCATATTTGTTGCACAGTTGGTTCCTGCTGGGTTGGTTCGCTCATTTCCAGAGATCCCTGTTGCTGATCTTTTTTTGCCGGCCATTTGATCTTGAGTAGTGTTGAGTGAAGACATCTGTTGATGAAGGTCTGCAGTTTGTGTGAAGTGCGCTTCATGACGCAGTACCAAGTCTCTGATCCGTATAGTAAGTGGCACTGACTTCACATTGGAGTTGAAAATCCGGATGTTATTTTTCATGCTGAGTGCTGCCGTTCTCCACACAGCCTTGAGGGTAATGAATGCGTCTTGCTTTTTGCGATCCTCGCTTTGATATCCTCGTCAGTTCCGCCTGTAGTTGGAACGATGCTTTCTAGGTAGGTGGGTAAAAGAGGTTGCTTCTTTCAGATTTTTCCTGTTTATACTGATTGTTGTCTGTTGTTATTGTTGTTGCTGTTGGCCAGGAATCTTCATCACCTCTGTCTTCTCTATGTTCACCTGAAGGCCTATCTTTGCTGCTTCTTCTGCCAACTTGTTGCTTTTCATTTGCATATCTTCCAGTTTGTTGGAAATCAGACATATATCATCATCGGCGAAGTCCAGATCCTGCATTTTTTTAGTGTGGGTCCATTTTTTGTCTGTTTCCTCGCTGCTCGCTGTCTGTCTCATTATCCAGTTTACTGCAATCAGGAAGATCATTGGAGATAGCAGGCAGCTTAGACAGCACCATAAGTCATCTTACTGGGGTTATTAGTTTTGGGGCAATACACTCAACTATATATTTAGACTCACTTGGAAGCACAGTTATATAGTTCGATGTATAAGTTCCGCTGTGTATTTCCTAACTTTACTCATAACTTTATCCATTGATTTCCTAATTTCAAATGGTCCTGTTTTGTATATGAGTATTAATATTTTTCAAAAGAGAAAAACTATTTTTGACATGTAGTCCAGACATGTAATACTGTCTCACTGTGTATATGTATATTGTGTATCCAATAAACAGAGTAATATGTAGTGACTATTTTATTTCATTAGAGCTTGGTAAAGTTTTGAATTCCTTTCAACAGTTGACTTTTTCTGATGTTTTATTATTCATTATATCTGTGTATCTTTACATATATGAATCAACATTCGTCCATCGAAACACATCAATATTATTTTGGTTTATAGTAGGGTACAGCAGGTTGAAGGTGAGGCTAGTAACTCATCAAAGTGAACATTGCTAAGTGGTCGCACTATGTCATGAATTGGCAGAAGTTAGAATTCATGGACTGATCATTGGATTAGTTCCCAATGGCTTAATGGTCTACGAGCTCTCTAGTCTTGTAACTAGAATGTTGTCGGTTTGAACCCTTGTGATGGGTGCGTGCGGATGAAGAGCCCCATGACCTGACGATACAGCTGTTCAGTACTCCTAGCTGGTTTTCCAATGATTCTCTAACTGGTGTCAGCTCATGATGAAATTCTCTAAATATCAATATTAGTTTTGTTTATAAGCTAGTTAGAAATCAGTAGGCTAACATTTCTTACACAATTTGTTTTGAAATAGTTTATTATCCATATTCATAATAAGATTTACAAATTATAGATATCGTTTCTACGGTTCTAGGCGTTTTCGTATTCACTCACACAATTCATTATTGCTCAAAATCACATCAAGTTACTCACACAACTTTCTAACTTCACTTATGTGATTCTACTATTTGTCATCTCTTGATTTGACTGGTAGTAATATTCTCCAGATATCTGGGGTATGAGTGATGAGTCATTGCATCCTATTGCACTTGTTGGGTGTGGATCCTATGAACAGCAACTCAGTAACCAACCTCGCTCTCCACCTGCTTGCACTTTTAACCCTCTCCCACCACCCTATTGTGTGTGTTAATGCATACATGCAGTGCAATCACTGAGTGTTTTTTCTAAATTACTTGTCTTCGTGGGGTCAGCCATGGTTAGTTTTGATATAACTAGTCTTTATACTAATATTCCAATCAACCAGTATAGCCTCAGAAGCAGCTAAAAGAGAACTAACTAACTGTAGATACTGAACTTACTCATAGGACAAAGCTGCCTATTGAGAAAATTATTTTAGGAATTTAGTTATGCCTCACATCTACTGTCTTTAAATTCCAGGGGAAAATATATAGACAAAGAGAAGGTGTAGCAACGGGATGGATCACCAATATCCCCTATGATAGTAGGTATCTTTATGGAGAGCTGGGAAAATATTCTTCTTAACATGGCATTTAATTCTACTCCAAAATATGGTGGAGTTATGTGGATGACACTTTTACACAGTGTTAGAACTACAGAACATCTCTAGCTTCTTCACACACACACACACATAAACTCACTAGTGGAGGGAATAAAATTCACATTTGAATCAGAAAATGAACAAGGAGAATTAGCTTTGATGTTAGATTGTAAAATAAAACGAACGGATAAGGTAAACTGCACACTAGCGGCGTTTATAAAGGCCAACACATTCTGCTAATAGATATTTAGACTTCAATTCATCTCATCTGTGAAGGTAAACTTAGTTAAGTGACTGTCTAACAAACCGAGCAGTAGCACTAAGTAGTACAACAAAAAACTTAAATGATGAAATATAACAGATAGAAGAATGGTTGGTTGGTGTTAAATAACCAACTATCATATAAAATTCATTAGAAAGATCAGAAAAGGTCAAAATAAAAATAATGGTGAAACTAATAATCATAACTTAAATAAGAAAGTATATAAGGCATCTACAGTAGTTTAACCATATAAAAAGGGGACATCCGAGACACTCCATACGTAGGAATCGGAGTAGTGGCATTTACGCCTACAAACTCATTCAGGCAGAGACAAGCTCTGTAGGTTAAACGACCCTGTCGGTTGACCCAATTAGACAAAATAATATAATTTACAAAATACCTTGTAATGACTGTGAGTTAGATCAACTATATAGGTCAATCAAACTAGTAGATCAGGAGTAGTGAGATTATCAGAACATAAGAATTTAGCTAAGGTGAGAATGATTGGTCCCACGAAGATAAGTAATTTTAAAAAAAGCTCAGCAATTGCGCTACATGCATTAACACACAACCACACAATACGGTTTGAGAGGGTTAAAATTCTAAAATGTAATCTATGTAGGTGGAGATAGAGACAGGTTGATTACTGAAGCTGTGATCATTGAAAAATCTACACCCAACACGTGCAATAAGATGCAATGACTCCTCACTCACGCCAGATATCTGGAAAATATTACTACCAATCAGATCAAGAGATGAGAAATAGTGGAGTCATATAAACAAAGCTGGAAAGTTGTGTGAGTAGTGCTTTGATAAGATTATGAGCAGTCATAAATTGTTCTCGAAATGTGGTCGTTAGTAGTAAATATTACTGTATAACCACTATCAGACTTTGTCAAAATAAAAATTTTATCAATAATGGGATTATTCCACTCGGTTTATTTTTAGCATTGTTACTTTATCTAAAACACTAAAAGCAATGGAAGTCATACGCTCTGAATTATGAAATTACCATGGTTTGGTTATGTATGGAGTGAATTATATCAGTTATATATATTGCAGTAAATAAGTTTTTCATTGTGTGAGATACTTAACAAACAAACATGTCGGATGACATTATTCACAATATTGAGTTTTTAATTTTTCCTGGTCGGAGTGCTCTCACTTACGTCATTTGTGATGAGGTATTTTACAAATGAATCAAAGCTAACATCTTTACAATATGGTCAATAAGCTAAGTGACCCGACATTGTACTATTTGCTAAATGTCATAAAGCCGTAGACACAGCCTTATTAATACATGGTTGCTCTTATGCGGGGATGCATATGCGTGATTTAACACCCTACAGATCAGGTCAAAGACTTTGCCGCTAAGCTTTTCAAGACATATTATATGCAACAATCTAGATATTGAACTCAGAGTATCTATCAAATTGTCGTTAGTCAAGTACTTTTAGTGTGGTGACAGCTGTCTACTAGCCAAAATTGTAAACAACAATTTACGTCAATGTTTACTTCCCGAATCGAGGTCATGAAAAAAGCAATAGCAAAGCCTAACGTTGTTGAACTCACCAACCAATCAAAGCAGACTTAGCGTGGGCGGATATGGATTGTAGATATATAGTCTGACCTTCGAAGAAATGGACACAAAGCGATAACAGAATAACCTTGAGCAAGAAAATAGCCAATCAGAAGAGGTTGCTTCTCTGCTAACAATAACACTCATAATAGTGTACATAAAAATCTATAAATACCTCTTGATTTTCTCATTAAACGATCTGTTGCCTGGCCCTTGTCTTCTGTCATTACAATAGTAGTTATAAAGAAACGAAAACTACTTAGCAAATGTTTTAAACCTCTTTAGGGTTTGTTATTTGCACTGGTAGAATTTTCCAACCTTGCTACTGAACAGTAAATAGTTCGTTTTCAGGCTCATACTCTTATGTATTCACTAGTTTTCGTAAAAAAAGCTACTAATAATAGGTGTTTAGATTCTGGGTTACTTGAATACAAAAGTTAAATATGTAGCATGCACCACAGGGGTTCGAACCTAAGACCTTCCGGTTACTAGGCAAACTCGTCGACAAATGCTTGCCGATGGCATTGATTGGTGCCAGTCACGCTAAAAATCACGAATTTGTAGAAGTTGGAATCTATGGATCATTGAATCGGGTCCCAGTGATTGAGTGGTCTACGAGCTCGCTAGTCTTGTAATCGGAAGGAGCTGGGTTCGAACCCTGTCGATGGGTGTGTACTGCCAATGATTCCCAAACTAGGATGAAACAGCTGGCTGTCCAGTACTCCCTACTAGTTTTCAATGGTTCTCTAACTGATATCAATCCGTGGGCAAACTCGAAAGACAAATCAACTCTTGAAAATATAGTCTTTCGGAGATAATTCCATTATGGGTAAGATTTACTTTGATAAAGTCTCACAGTATTATATACAGTAATGTTTACTGATGACCACGTGTAGAGCACAATTTATTGCCATGCATTATCATATCAAGTTACTCATACAACTTTCAACTTCACTTATATGATTGCATTATTTGTCATCTCATGATCTGATTGGTAGTAATATTTTCCAGATATCTGCTGTGACTGATGAGTCATTGCATCTTATTGCAACTATTGGGTGTAGATTCTATGATCACGGATTCAGTAATCAACCTGTCCCTATCTCTACCTACCCATATTACTTTCTAGAATTTTGTCCCTCTCCTACTCCCATATTGTGTGATTGTGTGTTAATGCATGCGCGCATGCAGTGCAATTGCTGAGCTTTTTTCTCAATCACTCATGTTTGTGGGATCAATCATTCTAAACGTTACTAGATTCTTATGTTCTGATAATCCAACTACTCCTGATCTACTAGTCTGACTTATGTATTTGACTTAACTCACAGTCTTTGCAAGGTATTTTGTAAATTATATTATTCTGTCTAATAGGGTCAACTTACAGGGTCCTTTAACCTACAGAGCTTGTCTCTACCTGAGTGAGTTTGTAGGTTTAAATGCCACCACCCCAATTCCTGCTTTATTGAGAGTCCTATATGCGGAGGGTTTCAGATGTCCCCTCCTTATATGGTACAACTTCTGTAGATACCTTTTATTCTCTCTTATTTATGTTATCATTATCAGTTTCCCCATTATTATTTTTGTTTTGCTCTTGACCTTCTCACATCTTCCTGATGAATTTTATAGGATGGTTAGTTATTTAACACCATCTCCTCTTCTATCTTTTTCATTTCAACATTTAAGTTTTTGTTGTACTACTTAGGGCTACCGCTCAGTTAGTTAAACACACACTTAACTAAGCCTGCCTTCACAGACAGATAACAGATGAGATGAATTAAGGTCTAAATATCTATTGGCAGATTGCGTTGGTTTTTTACAAACGCTGGTATGGAGAATACTACTACCAATCATCAAGTCAAGCGGTGAAAAATAATAGAATTATATAAACGAAGTTAGTAAGTTGTATGAGTAGCGCCTTCATATGAGATTATGAACAGTGATAAATTTTGCTCGAAACGTGATCATCATTAGTAAATATTACTTACTGTATAACAAACACTGTGTGACTGACTTTATCAAAATAAATTTTTGCCCATAATGGAATTATACCCTACCATCACAGTGCACAAGTTTTATTCTTATATCTTTCGGAGATAGTTTACCTGCATCCACCTAACCAAACTGTCATTTGTGTCATTAATTAATCATCTAGTTGTTTCACTCAAACATTAATTAATCTTATGCTTACTTATTTATGTAAAACTTCTGTAAGCATTTTTTTTTCTAAACTTTCTATTTTTCTCTCCTTTTGTGATGTAAACAGGCTCCTGAAGTGTTGATGTGTCGTAAATATGATGCAGTTGCAGATATATGGAGTATGGGTATTATTGTTTACCAGTGTTTAACTGGTAAAGCCCCGTTTTATGCTAATACACCGGAGGCATTGAAAAATATTTACGAGAAGACAGCTTGTCTTAGACCAAAGTGAGTAGTGTGTGTGTATGTGTTGTAATTTTTTTCCCCACTGTTTTTATCTTAAGATCGCATATATATGAGTCAACCTTGAACCATACAGATTTTTTTATGTTCAGTATGTTATCGTTTTTTACAATGATAAAAGTCAGTTGTCATCAACTAGGCTGTACATTCGTGTATTCATAGTAGTGAATGGACTAGAAAGTTCCAGAATTATTTCCGGTCAAAGGTTAAATTAATCAGTGTTTCATTTCTTCGATGTTCAACTGAGAGGGAATGCCGTCAACTCGCTGAGAAGATCCATCTACAAGAAGCCCACAAGAAAAACTGACAGTTTATCAACTTTTAAAGTTGTGTGCCTCTAAGCAGAAAGAGAAACCTAAGACTACTCTCTTTCTTTCCTCGAATATCCTAAAAATATACACTGAGGAGTCAATTGATGGAGGATTACGTAATCTCCGAGGGACCTTGATAGAAAATGGTTTGTACTCACCCAGATTCATAGAAAAGAATCTAAAACCAAAGAAAACACCTGAAAAGGTCACAGTCGTCCCCATAAAGATGCTGACACTGAACCTCGAATTTAAAATCATAGGTGCCTGCATTCTATCTCCCGTGTGTGTTAGGTGATGGTACAATAGGCATCGGTGGTCGAGTGCTAGTAAGGTGTAGGTAAGGAGGTGAAATCAATCGACGAGCTGGTTGTGAAGTTACTGCATCGATTGACAGAGAGATGGTTAGGACATGTGTGATGCATACCACCGTGCAATCGAACACCTTCCTCAACCGATGGGCAGTGTTAGCTGACTGACATAGAGTGATGGATGAGGTCGGAAAAGAGTTAACTAGTGGTGGTTAAACAAAATCGTAGCTTCATTGGTCATTGAAATGCATAAAATCAGTTTAAGCCAGCCAGTCACGTAGGGAGGTGTAGACTGCCTGACCGGCTAGTTGGGGGGTCCTCAGGATGGTAAAGGCCAATGACTGCTGGAGACAATCCATGATACGGCTCAAAATCATCGTCGTCAATGGCTGGCGCAGGTGCATTCACTCTTTGTGATTTATATTTCATAACCAATGAAATTCTATTGTTTTCCCATATTACCATTCTTTTCCCTCGCTTACACTTCTGTTTATTATCCCTCCATCTTTTGAATCTCTCTTAACTCTCTTCTCTTGTTTTGTGTCGTACAAGAAGGAAGTGTGGCAAGTGGAAATGGTGCACATCTGTACAAAGTTGTACGTATTGGATGGTTGGAGGCAATCGGCCACAGGAAGCCTTGGACCTAGGTTTCGTGTTAGTTGGCACTCATCAGCAAGGCGTATCTGCAACCTTGAAGGAACTGATGTCCCTTCTGAGATTCGAACCCGCGTCACCCAGTGCTGCAGTCAGAGACGTCACCACTGAGGTATTCAGGCTCGCGACTGACCTACTGTAGGGATGTATTGGATATTTTTGATTGCACACTAGTCAGTAACTAGTATAATGTGTCTAGTCCTATCTTCGGTGCAGTTCTACGTTAAAACTAGTCAGTCAGTCGTCAGGGGGATCCAGTGCACCCTAGTTCTATTTCAAATCCACCAGATGGATGTACGAGTGAATCATTAATATACGACAAAATAGGCGAAGAATAGTGAAAATAAAATATCAGACGCATATTAACAAAGTCATCATAGCTTAGCGAATAAATTTAAAAACAAACTTATCACTAATACAAAACCGTCAACCCTATAGGGAATGCAAGTAAACTAAATATCTGTATGTCCTTAGTGGAGAGTGTTCATAACATTATACACAAGTGACAACTGAAGACAACAAAAAGGATGACAGCTAATTATACTATTACTGATCAGAATCAAGGCAAAACAGTGTCACTTGAACACAGAAGAAAAGAAAACATTGAATTCACAAATATATATATATATATATATACATATCGATTTTTGATTACAGCTTGATTCCACACCGTTCTTTTGGTACAGGTATGGAATTTTCAGCATGTGATATCGGTAGCCCAAATTTTGTAGGCCAACCATAGATATCAGGTGTGCATCGGCAGAGGATCGAACTCCGGACCATGTGCATGATCGGTGAGAGTCCTAACCGCTGTGCCACCGACGTACAATGATTATAGTGTATCCGCAAGACAAATATTGCACTGTAACACTTAACCAGTTCCAATGACTGAAATGTCATCTTTCATTTTATCGGAATCATTATACGGAATTATTCCACAAGTCCATCGGACAAGCTTCATTATTCAATCTATAGGCGGTTTTTGCGGGAAGCAACTCAATTGTAGCCAAGAAAACAATCTGACTAACATCTCCAAAAGTAAACATTTTATCAGGGTGTTGATCAAGTCATTCAAGAAGTCACAGAACAGTAATTTAACATTTTTCAACTTGGTTTCCGGTGTATAAGCTTCATCATAGATGTACTAATGGAATTAAGCCTAACTCACTTCAGAGACTCAGGGATTGACTTGTTACCACCAGGGAATAATCTCGTTGACTTAGAATATGCAGATGATATAGTCTTCCCTCCTGGGTGAAGATACTGACAGTATAGAGCAGAGCCATCTAAACACCTTGAGCTGCAATCTGCGTATGTTTGACATGCGATTCCCTCCTGCTGTCAAGTGTTAAACGATGCTACAGGACTCCACTGGATTACATTGACTCTTAGTTTAAAGATAGGGGGAGATGGTGAATTGGTTGGTGGAGCGTACTGATCACTTCACTTGTTTGGGAAGTTGCCTCGGCCCTAACGGGTTGATAACTGACGAAATCTCAGCTCGAATACAGAATGCTCGGTTCGCATATGCCAGTTTATGCCGTCTCTGGCGTAGACGTGATATCCGGCTATCGACCGAAGGATGTGTGTACTCCTCAGCAGCACTTCGTTGAGTCCTTCTTTATGGCCACGAGTGAGACATGACTATTGAGAGTGGAAGACATGAAAAGATTAGCTATCTTTGATCATAGATGTCTGCGTTCTATCTTCCGTGTGTATTAGGTTGTGGTAAAATACGGTGAGCAATGTTGAGGTTAGGCATGCCATCGGTGGTCGAGTGCTAGGTGGGTGGGACGGGGAAATCAATCGACTAGGTGGTTGTGTAGCTACTGCATCGATTGAAAGAGGTGGTTAGGACATGTGTTATGCATAACTCGGAGCAGTCGACCATCTTCCTTGACAGACGGTCGAACCAAAACATGGCTTCATCAGTCAATGAAATCCACAGCAATTAGTTAAAGTCATGTTGGGAGGTGTAGACTGCTTGACTGGTTGGTTGGGTTCCTCAGGATGGTAAGAACCAATGGTGACTGGAGACAGTCGGTGATATGATTCAAAATCGTTGTCAATGGCTGGCGCAGATGCATTCACTCCTTGTGACTTATAATACCCAATAAGACTATATGGTTCTTCGATATAACTATTCTTTTTACCTCATACCTCTGTTTGCTGTCACTATTTTGCATTTTTTTTAACTTTCTTCTCTTGATTTGTGTGCTACAAGGAGGGAGTGTGACGACTGGAACTGCTGCACATGTTTGCAAAGTTCTATGTTGAAACCAGTCAGTCAGTATAAGCTTCCCTCCGCCTACATTGCAACTGTCGGATCGCCATTGAAAGTGGATATCGAAAGGTTACCATTTCTCAACCACGTATACCTTCATTCTTTTGCTCACACTATGAGTTCATCTTCATGGTGAGTACTATGAAGATTAAGTATTTATTGTTCGATAAAGAAGACTAATCATTAGGCGATAATGCCATAGATGATTTTAATCTACCAAACTAGCTGGTGAAAAAATGTTTGGGCTTAAAGTCATCAAGCTGATAAAAATCGTTAGTTACAGACTATTGATTGCCTGAGTCAAAATCTTTCATGGTTGTGCAACAAATATATTGTGTAGTCTTCATCAGTTTTCAAAATTCAACTGCTATCTTTCCATACATTTATTGGACAGTAGTAGCTAATGTGATGTGTCTAATCGTTTCTTTGGTGCAGACTGAATTCTATCAGTCAGTCAGGTTTGCAATGTGGCCACCATGTCACTAGGTACCTCGCCATCATGGTGCAAATTGATTTGGTGATATATAAGGGGGTTGGAGGCAATAGGACACAGGAAGCCTTGCCGGGAAGTACCTAGGTTTCGTGCTAGTTGGCACTCACCACCAGTCAGTCAGTCAGCAACACGGCGTATCTACAAACTTCTACCTGTCTGTATTCGACATAGAACTTTGCACATATGTGCTGCAGTTCAAGTCGCTACACTCCATGTAACACACAAATCAAGAGAAGAAATGCATAACATAGACAGTACACAGAGGTGAGAGACAAAGGAATAGTAGTAACGAAGAACAATATAGTTTCATTGGAAATCATAAGTCACAAGGAATGGATGCATCTGCGCCATTGAGAACGATTTTGAGCCATATCACCGATTGTTTCCAACCATTGGTTTTTACCGTCCCGAGGACGCCAACCAGGTAGTGTACATCTTCCTACGTGGCCGGCTTAAACTAACTGTTGTAGATTTCATTGACTGGTGCCATGTTTTGGTTTGACCACCGCTAGCTCCTTTCCAACCTGACCCTATGTCAGCTGCTACCTTGACGTGGTGGCCGGGCTTGCATATCGCGATGACCCAACAAGCTACACTGGCTGGAACCAATGTTCCTGCAGGTCCTACCATGCCAGGAAGGTTGTTAGGATAACGATTAGATTAAAAGCAGTTACCGGCATTGTGTAAAAATCTTTCCTACACTATGCCGGGGGTTTGAGGGCGAAGTCGTACTGCTGGGGAACAGGGGTGTAACAGCAGTGAGGTGTTTCCCTCAGATGACTAGCATGCAAGCCAGCTATGCTGTCTCTCCATTCCGGAAAGAGGGGTTAGAAAAAGTCGACCCCAAAAATTGTACATCTCGATTTACCCTACGGTGGTTTGTAACCGGTGGTAAGTTTACTAATACGGAACCAATCTCAGAAACCAGTTCATACAGGCCGTGTGTGACCGGCCGGCCTCAAGCAGTTGTCCCCTGGGCTCTGCGGTCATGCAACACTAACCCTCTTTCTGTTTCAGGTACCCGAAGAGTCAATCAACTTCCACGGTGTGGGCAGCCGGGAAGTAACAACCGCCCACACACTTCCAAAAGCACACAAAGCCTTCCTGAGCATCATTCTCCTTTACTCTACAACCTTGAAGGGAGGAACTCATTTCCCTTCTGAGATTCGAACCCGCGTCACCACCCAGTGCTGAAATCAAAATGTTCAACATAGTACTAAAGGAGGTGGTGAGTTGGGAACACGAGTATCTTAATGGTAACGTCTCTGACTGCAGACGGCACTGAGTGACGTCGGTTCGAATCTCAGAAGGGACATGAATTGCTTCAATGACCATGTCTCACAAACATTAAGTAGGACGGAGTGAACTGCTGAGTGGTGCACACGTCCTTTGATCAATAACCAGCCTTCTGTATCCATGCTGAGCTTTCGTCAGCGATCGATCAACCCGCTTATCCAATAGAACGTAAAAGTCAGTGTGTCGATACTTTTCTTCATTTGTTTCTGTCTGTCTGGATTCAACATAGAACTTGTCACCGAAGTGCAGCAGTTCGAGTTGCCACGTTCCAAATACCACACAAAGGTAGACAAAAAAATGAGTGAAGAGAATCAACAGAGTTTTGACAAGTATAAGAGTGAAACAGAATGAGTAATGGTAGAAAGGAATATGAAAGATTACAGAGACTGAATACATCTGCGTAAGCCATTGACAACGATTTTGAGCCATGTCACCTATTGTCTCCAGCCATTGATTCTTAGAGTCCCGAGGGCCCCAACCCGGAAGTCTGCATCTCCCCCCTACCTGACTCAGTTTAACTGGGAAGGATTTCATGGATTGATGATGCCATGTTTTTGTTTGGCCACCACTTACTCTTTTCCAACCTGCATCTATATCAGCTAGTAATGCCCGTCCGTCGGGGGAGGCGATGGTTAGGCATGCGCAGCACGTGACCTAGCCATCTCAATCTATGTAACTTTATAGCCTCGTCGATTGATTTTCCCTCTTTGTCCAACACTCTACGCCTAACATCAACATTACTTACTTTATTATACCACCTAACGCGAGAAAGAGATCGTAAACATCTGTGGTCAAAAACACTCAACCTTTTCATGTCTTCAACTCGTATTGGCCATGTTTCAGAGGCATAGAGAAGGACGGAGCGAACTGCTGAGCAGTACACACGTCCCTTGGTTGATAGCCAGATGTCACGCCTACGCTAGAGACGGTGTAAGTTAGGGAAAGCAGCCCGAGCTTTCTGGATCCTTGCTGAGATTTCGTCACCAATCAATCCGTTGGTGCTGATACAACTTCCGAAATAGGTGAAGTGGTCAACATGTTCTATCACTTCACTCCGTATCACTAAGCTAGGAGTTGACGTAGTCCAGTCCTGTAGCAGCATCTTACATTTCACATGGGCGAATCGCATGCCAAACATACGAAGATTGCTGATCAAGGTGTTCAGAAGACTCTGCATTTTGTCAGCATCCTCCCCTAACAGGACTATGTCATCTGCATATTCGAAGTCCATAAGACTATTCCCTGGTAAAAAGTCGATTCCTAAGTCGTTAAGTTCAGTTAAGGATACTTCCATTAGCATATCTATGATGAAGTTGAACAGGAATGGGGAAAGTGGACATCCCTGACGGACACCACTGGTTGTTAAGAATTCAGATGACAATTCCCCATAAGCTCTTACATGGCTACGTGAGTTTGATTAGAGTGCCTTAATTAGTGCAATGTACTTTCTTGGCACTCCCTTCACAGTCAAACATTGGCATAGTACCTTTCGATCCACGGAGTCGAAGGCCGTCTTCAAGTCAAGAAATATGACAATTGTTGGACACCGAAAAGTATGTCTATGTTCTAGCATCTGTTGGAGAGTGAAGATATGATCTATGCACCCTCTACCTGGCCTAAAGCCTGCTGATATTTATTTATAAGTAATGTATGTATCGTTTCTTAAATAAATATATTTCAATGATTACACAGAGTATTATCCTCCTACTAGTCTGACCACCTTTCTATCTAACCGCTTACAAATTCCCTTTATGATGTTAATAAATCTTCATACCTGTATTATTTTTTTTTCCTTCATATTTTTCTATTTTACAGAATTCCTGTCACAACTAGCAAAGCACTACAAGATTTACTGTTGAAAATGCTTAATCGTAAACCATCAGAAAGAATTGATTTTCGTAAGTGATGAAGCGTTATATAAATATGCTGTCGTTCGTGCATTCACTCATTCAATCTGTAATAATAATTATGTCACATGCTAATTAATATTCATCATTACTACTACTGCTACTACTATTACCTATAGCTATTAAAGCATACTTGTCAAGCCCTATAGACAAGAGATTGTCGTATAAAAAAGGCTAAGCTCTAAGCAAAGTAGTAGAATAGCAAAATATAAGTAAGTGCCTCAGGTTTACTTTCATCTTAAGAAAAGCATTCATTAAGAGTGAGAGAATGTCGTATGAATAGTTTTTTCTTCTCTTCTCTTCTCTTCTAAGTGTTTTTTCTAAAAAACAATATTGATGACAAAATAAAACACGTAGTTCAGCGAAGAGTTGCTTGTTGGCGGCGAATTCATTCACCACTTAGCTGTGCACAATCGCAACTAGATATAATTGTTTTTGGATGTGTGTGTGTGTGTGTTTGTACATTAGCTTTGTCAGACAAGAAGAAAAAATTAGTTAGGGTTGTTGTGTATTATTATTATTGTCTCCTTTAGTTCCTAGAGGAACATAGGGCTTCAGCCACGCACGTCTCCATTGCATTCGGTTCCCCGCCAACGTTTCCACCTGGCTACATGCTTTCACCTCCTCTTCATATGACCTCCTCCTCCTCTATGTCACCCTCGCATTGACGAACAACTCGTCGCTTCCCATTCGGCAGGTTCCACTCGAGCGATGGCCTGGTGTGTGATGTCACTTGGTGGTTTTCTCGGGGTATGGCCAATCCACCTCCGTTTCTTTCTGCATAGTTGGTTGCACGGTTGGTTCGTTCCTTCCCAGAGATCCCTCCCTGTTGCTGATCTTTTCTGGTCGGCCATCTGATCTTGTAGTAGTATTGAGCAACAACAGCTCTTGATGAAGGTCTGTAGTTTATCGAAGTGCCCTCCGTGACGAGACGCGGTGTTGCGCCAAGTCTATGATCCGTATAGTAAGTGGCACTGACTTCACATTGGATTTGAAAATCCGGATCTTATTTTCATGCTGAGTGCTGTTGATTATCTTCACAGGGTTGTTGTTTACATCATCAAAATATTTCAAAAAATGTGATGAATAATCAAATTGTAACCAGGTTGGAGTTGGGGGGGGGGTTAAAGATTAATATGAGGGTAGTGGTGATGGGATGTCAAAAAATAGTTTTCAGTGTTAGTTAGTGGGTAAAAGAAGTGTATTGTAGCTGCTTAATAAGATGATTAATTTGATGAGAGTTTCCATCGGTATTCAAGTGTTGGTTGGCAGGGATTTGATTGGTTTCAGGATTTCATTATTGGTTAGAGAATTATTGGAAAACCGACAGGGAGAGTTATTCCTGACAGCTATTTTGTCAGCCTAGTTTGGGAGTAACTATTTAGAACTACGCACCCACAGATAGGGGTGCACTTTCCGGTTACAGGGCGAGCAAGCACGTAGACAATTAAGTCACTAGGACCCGATCCAATGAGAAGTCCATGAATTCCAACTTCTACCAATTCATGCAAGATATAACGCTACTGGCACTAGCCACTGTCATCGGTGGCGAGTATTTCTCTTCACACCCGACATACTTTACCCCACTTGTCACGACTTCTCACTAGAACCCAGGTAACCACCTACCTGAATAGGGCCAGCTGCTAGTGAGCATCCAATTGATATTCAAGAGTTGGTTTGCAGGAATTTGATTGGTTGTAGGATTTCATCATGAGCTGACAATCGTTTGGAGAACCATTGGAAAACCTGTATGCCAGACAGCTGTTTCGTCCTAGTTTGGGACTCTTCGTCAGTATGCACTCATTGATTTGATTAGAATGTACGTAGAAACAAAGGAAAATATGGAATTATGTAAGAGTTGTAAAGACATTACAAGAGTTACAAAGGGTTAAAGAAATAAGAACGCAAGCGTCAAGTGAGTAGAAATCAACACGGTTGTTGTCTTGATAGTAGAATTGGTTGAATGATTTTCTTTTGTATACACAACTCTGATTCTTCCAACTGAATGACTAAGGCTTCAGCAATACAAAGGAGACGAAAGGGTATTGTTTTTGGTAGGTTATTCCTCACGTTGTAGATCACTTTGAAGTAGGCTTTTGTTGAGATGGATTGATTGGTGTTGACAAGATGTTCGATGATCGCACTCCCTTATAGAGAGAGCCACTACATTACCTTTTTGCAGCTATGCGGAATAGTGTTCTTGAATTCTTTTGGACAGAGGATACGCGTCGAACGATCAATGTATGTACCTGGTCAGCTCCACACAGCAACAGGTGAACTGAATAGCCAGATAGCTATTTTTATATCAGTATGTGAAGTATTAGGCCTGTGAGAGGCGTATGCGGTAGATCAGATGTTCAACGGTGACACCTTGATGTGTCTCTATAACACTTTCATGGTTAACTAAGCAGTGGTGTTGAGCAACAACTACTTTATAAGGCTGTTGTAAACTATTATATTACATTATTATTATTTGTATGGTAAAATTAGTAATACTCTGTGACGTTTTTATTAAATCTACCTAAATAAATATGTGTCAATATTGGGTTATTTTTATCTCGTGAATAGCTAGCTAATTAAAGCTATTTTTATTATATGTATATATATGTGTGAGTGATTGAGAGTGTATGCGCGCGTAGAGTAGTAGTAAGTTAGTTGCGTGTGCACACACTCCACAAATATAGATTAATTATCCTTACTCTTAACTATTCTTGTGATATAATATATTGAATGAAATCAATCAACAAAATGGAGAAGGAAGAGAAAAGAAACGCACACACTGACAAGAGGCATTTTGTTAGTTGCTAAGTGTGGCACACACTTTACTGTTGGTTGTATGTGTGTGTCTGTGTGGTGGTGGTCAAGAGGGTGGGTGGGGGTGGGTAGTGTTTTCTGATACACGTGATGTTCAAAATAATGTAGATTATTGATTTTAGATAGTTGGAAGCAATCGGCAGGAAGCCTTGCTCACCACTACCACCAGTCAGCAAGGCAGGAGTATCTGCAAGTCGTTGAAAGAAGGAACTTATGTGCCTCCTGAGATTCGAATCGTCATCACCAGCCAGTGCCTGTCTGCAGTCACTTAGAGACTTACTTACTTTACTTTACTTCGGCTATCTCCTACGGGAGGATGAGACGGCTTCATGAACATCAGAGAGTTCATGAAGTTTCATGGGAATTCGGTACGAGTGATGTCCCCAGAATCGCTCGGCCTTTTGTTTGAGAGTGCAGCTCTAGCCTTTACACAACCAAGTGTGACCTACAAGGCAGTAGGAGTGGAGTAGAGAGTCCACTATCCATTGGCAGCCGGTGACCGGAGTTCGGTTCACACGCCTTTTTGAATGGGGCCAGACATCCAACAAGCCCTTTGTCCATACGTCTGCCGGTGAGCTCCAGTGAGCTTCATACGCCAGTCGTTGGAGGTTTGGAATCAGGGTTTAGCCATCTCCCCTAGACTGTCATCCAATGGACAGTCAACCCGGTGAAGAGCGCCGGGCATCCGCTTTCGCCCTCTCACTTTGGTGAGAAACACCTCCGCCACGTGAAGGCAGTGAGTAGGACTTCCTCAGGAGAGGCTATGTAAGACGCCCGGTCATATGGGAGCATTTCAAGAGGTGTGCGGAGGGGTGACCAACCCGCAGCGCAAGGCACCCACCTCCGACCATCCTGAGGCTTTGGAGGCGTACGTTACCAGTGAGCAGGTATTCGGGCTTGCGGTTGACCACCTCCAATGAAAATGCAGGTTATTACTTCAACTGTGAGGATACGAATGGGTAATATGATTCAATAACCCCTGCCCGATATTGGGTTACACATGGCGTAGTATACTACGAGATGTTATGGTGTACACTAGCCTTTGTGAAGCGCTGTTGTAACTCCAAGTTCCACTGTTGTTTGTTGTCCACATCACAGCGAATCACACTTGCTGACATGATCTTTCTACTATAAAATCCACACACACACACACACAAATGCACACTCACACAAAGCTTACAAAACCTTTTTAAGGTGTGTGTACTTTCTTAAGTTGTGAAAGAAAAAACACAAACAAGCAAACAAACAACGTGATGTTGAGTAGTGCAAATGGTGTGTGTGTGTGTGTTTGTGTGTAAATTATAGTACTAGAAAGGATGGGATTTTCACACGTGAACACGGAGGCAAAATCAGGCAACACACACATGCATTCATTCTACAAGAAAAAAATCTTTTTAAAATTTTAATATCTGAAAATTTTATAGCGTTTTTTTTTGGTCACAATTTTGTCTTTATTTACCTATATACCATTTTTCCTTTCTGTTTCTTTTTATGCATAAATGTTTGTTATAGAGAGTTTTCTCAACCATCGATTTCTGCATCAACGTCATATTGAACCTAGAGGTAAGATTGTGTGCTCCTATGTGTGTGTATGGGTAAGTAGTATGTGAATGAATGGCTTTTGTTTGATATTTATGTTTTATTCATTATTTCTTCAAGATTCCCGTCTTCCGCTACTTCTGTGGAAGGATGATAATTGCTTGCACAGAGGATTACAATTTCCACTGTCCTAAGTGATGAAATGTGCGCAAAATGTATGTTTTTGAGTGTGGAGAAGAGTGAGTCGACAGACAAATAGTAGTAATAATAATAGCTTTGGGACTCTTCAGCAGTACGCACCCACCACAGCCGGTTTGAACCCAGGACCTTCTGGTTACAAGGCCAGTGAGCTCGTAGACCATTGAGCCACTGGGACCCGATCCAATGGCACATGAATTCTAACTTCTGCCAATTGACGACATAGCTCGACCATTACGCAGAAGTTAGAATTCAAGGACCATTGGATCGGGTCCCAGTGGTTCAATGGTCTACGAGCTTGCTAACCTTGTAACCAGGAGGTCAGTAGTATATGACACTATGCAAAGGTGGTGGACAATTCACCTCCAATAAGATCTGTTTTTAATCTTGCTTGAATCAGCAATCATGTTAAGTATATCCATTTATAGTGAAAGATTCAAGGGATTGTAAGCTACACATTTTACATAAGAAATGCCTAGTATCCCTTACCTATGTGTAGACGACTTCATTATATATATATATATATATATATATATATATATATATATATATATAGGGAAGATTTACAATCTCAGTAATATGGTATTTTGAAGGATTTGAAGGCACCAATACTTTCGATGTTACAGTTGCATTTTCATGTGGATATGACTATTCAAAGCTGTACCTCTGTCTCCCTAGTAGTCTTTTTCAGATATTCTCTGTAGAGGCCGTTGGTGAGGTCGGGGTGGGTGGGTGGACAGCAGCAGTAAGAAAACAATTTAGAACTGATAGAACTGTTGGAAACACACTATTCTACTCCTCTTTTCCTTGTCGGTCAAACAGTTTTCAGTTATTGGATATGTAGGGATTTTATTTGATTGGTTAGAGGAGTTCCTGACTCACCTTCAACCTGCTGCTGTACCCATCATCAAAGAAGGCCAGTGGTTGAATGGTGTACAAGCTCACTGGCCTTGTAACCAGACGGTCGTGGATTCGAACTCTGGTGGATACGTACTGCCGAAGAGTCTCGAATTAGAAGGAAACACCTGACTGTCCAGTATTCCCAGCTAGTTTTCCAATGGTTCTCCAACCTAAGTCAGCTCATGATGGAATCTTCCAACCGAACCAACAGTCGCCTAGAAAATCATGTGTTTGGAAAGAAGGGGGGAAAGCTTGTTAGCTGGTATACTGAAAAGCTTTAACTCTCTCTCCCACTGTCTGTCTAACCCAGTATCTCTAAGAGGATAAATTAAAACTATTATACAAAATATACATACTTACTTGAAAATATTTAAATGTCATCTCTTGACAAATGATATTTTTGTGTCATTTTTCATTTGTTTATACAATCCTAATGTCATGCAATTTTCTTTCTGGTTAAATAGGAAGGATATTTTTCTTTCTGTTGCTTTTATCCTGCAGTTCTGTGTTATAGTGGTGCATCAACTATGTGTTTTTGCCTTTTTATAGGACAGTATATTAGTTTAACATTTTTTCTTCGAAAGACAGTCGGATTGTATTCACCGACAATGTGACATTTAGAATAGGCTGTTCATGATTATTCCCAAACTGCCATTCATCTCATCATTGTTGGGTAAAATCAATCAATTCATCCTCTAGCGTCCAATTAGGAAAATGAACTTTATTATTATTATTGTTCCCTTGGGTTCCTAGTGAAACATAGGGCACCAGCTGCACATCTCCAATTGCTTCTGTCTTCTGCTGTACTTTTCACCTGCATCCATGTTAGTACATGCTGTTTCAACTCCTCTTCACACGGTCTCCTCCATGTCACCCTTGGACGTCCCACTCGCCGCTTCCCTTTCAGGTTCCACTCGAGCTCTGGCCTGACGCGCGATGTCACCCAGAGGCCTCCTCAGTGAGTGTCCAATCCATCTCCACTTTCTCCTGCATATTTGTTGAGTGATTGGTTCTTGTTTTGTTTGTTCCCATAGTTTCTTGTTGGTGATTCTTCCCGGCGGCCATTTGATCTTGAGTATAGAGCGAAGACAGTTGTTGATAAAGGTCTGCAACAGGCTGTTAGAAATATTCTTTGTGACCCGCCAAGTTTCTAATCCGTAAAGAAGAAGTGACTTGACGTTTGTATTGAAAATCCGAATTTTGTTGTTGAGTGTTGCTGAGTGACGAAGATTTCCAGATTGGTTTCAGGTTGATGAATGTGTTTCTCGCCTTCCCGGTTCTCGATTTGACATCCTCGTCCGTTCCTCCTCTAATTGAGACAATGCTCCTTAGATAAGTGAATGAAGTAACCTCTTTCAAATCCCTCCCGTTGATGGTGATTGGCGCTGGATGTTGCTGCTGTTGTTGTTGTTGTTGGTTGGTAATTTTCATAACCTCCATGTTGTCTATGTTCACCTGGAGTCCTGTCTTTGCTGCTTCTCCTACCAGTTTGTCGGTTTTCGAGGAAAATGAATTTAAGTGTGGTTTTTTACAGGGATTTGATTGGTTACAGAATTTTATCATGAACTGACATCGGTTAGAGAACCTTGTATTGGAAAAGTAGTTGGGAGTAGTGGACATTTGCTTCGTCCCATCTGGCTGTGGAGGTCAAACCCAAGAGCTTCCGGTTACAAGGCGAACTCAGGTAGGCAGTTAGGTACCTAGGTTCTAATGAAAAGTCGTGACCACCAATGGGTTACTACAGCAGGTCGGGTGCTAAGACAAATACTCGCCAGCGATGACATTGTTTGGCTAGTATCGTGCGTGAATTGGCGGCAGAAGTTGGAAATCATCGACTGGTCATTGGATTGGGAGTTCCAGTGTCCATTAGGTCTACGATCTAACTTGTCTTGTAACTGGAAGGTCCTAGGTTCGAACCGTGTCAGTGGAGTGGGTACTTACTGCTGGGGAGCCATTAGTGAACTAGGACGAAACAGCTAGCTAGCTGTACCTTACACCTTGCAGGTTTTCCAATGGTTCTCTTCTAACTGATGTCAGCTCATGTTGAAATTGTAAAACAAATTTAATTGCCTTATATGGTTTTGCGGTTACATATACAAACACCAAGTTCCACTTAACTGATTTCATAGTCGAAAACAAATGTGTGTGTTTGTATATTGACTTTTTTGAATGTTTCAAGGATATTGTGTATAGGTTTAAATCAATATAATTTGAAGGTCACTGGTGGCAGTATTCGTAATCAAGATTCGTCGGTTAACGATACTTACTTTCAAAATGAAATGTGGATTGAACCTCAAACGTCGTAGTACTTATCGCTATATACACATGATCAACATCAGTTAAAGAATGACTGACTGACTGGTTTCAACGTAGAACTCTGCACAGATGTGCAGCAGTTCGAGTTGCCGTACTCCCTCCTTGTAGCACACAGAACAAGAGAAGAAAGTAAAAAAATGTATGAGATATGAGGCAAAACGAATAGTAATATGGAAGAACAATATAGTTTTATTGAATATTATAAGTCACAAGAAGTGGATGTATCTGCAACAGCCATCACCGAGAACGATTTTGAGCCATTTCATCAATTGTATCCAGCCTTCATTGGTTTTTACCATCCCGAGGACCCCAACCAGGAAGTCTGCACCTTCCTATGTGGCTTAAACTAACTGTTGTGGATTTCGTTGACTGGTGCTATGTTTTGGTTTGACCTCCGCTAGCTCTTTTCCAGCTTGACTCTATGTCAGTTAACATCACCAGTCGGTCGAGGAAGGCGATGGCTAGGCATGCGCAACACATGTCCTAACCATCTCTCTGAATCGATGCAGTAGTAGATTCACAACCACCTCGTCGATTGATCTCCCCTCCCGCTTACCTAGCACTCGACGCCTAATTTCAATACTACCCACTCTATTATACCACTTGACACGGGAGATAAAACGCAGACACTTATGATCACAGACAGCTAATCTTTTCATGTCTTTCACTCTTATTGGCCAGGTCTCACATCCATAAAGAAGGATGAAGCGGACTGCTGAGCAGTGAGTTAAGGTTAAGTCCATTAGTACATCTATGATGAAATTGTGAATAGGAATGGGGATAATGGGCATCCCTGACGGACACCACTAGTCGTCACCACTTCAGATGACAACTCGCCGTAAGCCCTCACCTGGCTGCATGAGTACGAGTAGAGTGCCTTGATCAGTGCAATATATTTTCTCGGCATTCCCTTCACAGCCAAGCATCGCCAGAGTACCTCTCGGTCGATAGAATCGAATACCGCCTTTAGGTCAAGAAATATAATGATTGTTGGACGCCGGTAGGAATGCCTATGTTCTAGAATCTGTCGGAGAGTGAAGATATGATCAATACACTCTCTTCCTGGCCTAAAACCTGCCTGGTTTTCTCGTGTTTGCGCCTCTCCAGCACCACTTAGTCCACGCAATATTATTGAGCCTAGGTCTTTGGATGTTATATTAGTCAAGCTAATCCCTCTGTGATTATCACAGGAAGACTTGTCTCCCTTCTTGTATATCGGGATGATCAGTGACTTACACTAACCCGATGGGACTTCCTCTGATTCCCAGACGCTGCCTAGAACCTCAGTTAATGCAGACAGTAAACTGTCTCCACCGTACTTAAATACTTCTGGTGTCATTCCATCAAGTCCTGCTGCTATGTCTTGTTTGAGACTAGTGACAGCTTTAGTAACCTGAGTTAGGGACGGAGGACTTGTGCCTATATCCCATTCAGGGAGGTGTTGGATTTTCAGCATGTTGAGTGTGGCTGTAGGCCAATTAAACTGCTCCTCATAGTGTTCTTTCCAGCGTTCCAGTCGTGTATCCTGGGAGCTAATTATGGTGCCACTTTTCTCAGAGACTGTTTCACTTATCATTTGCGTTCTACCACCTGTTTCCCCGATAAGTTTGAATAGTTGTCTGGTGTTACCTATTGCCGATGCCTTTTCCGTCTCTTTCGCTTTTGTCTCCCACCACTGTTCACGGTCGTTGCGAAGACTTCTTGTTAGTTTTCATTTGAGTAGCTTTTTCGCTCTTCATTTTAATCGGAGCTCGCTGGAATCAGTCTTCTAGCGTCAATCAGTTCGGATGAGGCGATATAGATCCAATGGCTCTTAATAACGTTTGGTTTCAGGTTATTAACAGCTTTTACAGCTGTGTCTACAGCTAACTGTATGTTGTGCCAGGCTACCTCAGTGAAAGTCCTGCTGTCGACCTCAGACACTTGTTTCGCTATTTTTATGAAAAAAAATGCAAACTGATTTCACAAAGATATTCACCCTACTACTATGATGTAACACATTTAGCAAGAAGTTATTTAAGCACTTGATTAAATTGTTAGTTGTACACTATTAGAGGTGAGTGAATTAAAATGGTCAGTAGTTGTGATAGAAGCATTGCAACTCATCTGCTACTGCTTCCTTACACAGACTGTATGTCTGCTCTGAAATATGTCAACAGTTGATGAGTGGCATTTAAGGCGTTCCATGATAGCACTTCTGTTTCTTCTTCTCTGTGTACAAAATACAATGTGATAACTGTCATTCATTCCTGAAGGGCAGTTCTTAACCTGCATTGAAATTGTTTATGGTGATATTGTTCATATATAGTAGATGGTTGGAGGCAATCGACCGCAGAAAGCCTTGTCGGGAAGTACCTAGGTTTCGTACTAGTTGGCACTCACTACTAATCAGCAAGACGTATCTACAAAGTCGAAAGGAGGAACTCATGTCTTTTCTGAGAATCGAATCCGCATCACCACCCAGTGCCTCTGCAGTCAGTCAGAGACATTACCACTGGAGAATTCAGTCTGCACCAGAGAAAGGACTAGACACATCATACTAATTATTGGTGTCCAATCAAGGTATGGTGTGCGTCGGTGGCACAGCGGTAGAATGCTTGCCAACCACGCATGTGGTCCGGAGTTCGATACCCGGCCACCGACGCACTCCTTTATCTCGCTAAGCCAGTAAATAGACTGGTAAAGAGGGAAGGTTGGGGGCATGAGGTTAGCAACTTCATCCCGTAAAAATAAATACCACTGCTAAAGAAACTTCAGGCCTCTAGCTTGAAGCTCTGTGTTCCACTGGAAACTTAAAGGAATAGAAAAAATGGAAGAATGGTGATACTGTGTTGTAACTCACCGTCAGAATTCTCTATAGCTGGAATTATCTTCATGTGGATTAAAGGTGTAGGATCTCGTCGGTAGTATTAGGATTTTACCTGTTATTATTATCACTACTACTTCCTACGCACAGCCCCAGAAACTGTTTTTTAATACTCATATCTTATTTATATATCTTCTGTTATCTTGAATGTTCTCGTTACATACCTTACGCTGTTATTTTTCATTTAGGACGAAGAGGTATGCTTCATATGTTTCCTTTTCTCTGTGTGTGTCTATAAATAATCAATTGTCCTGTCAAATTTTTCCACACTATTCTGTTTTTTAATCATCTTTCTCACTAGTACTATTGAGTTCCTGGGTCATATCAGTAATAATAATAATTATTATAATAATAACAGTAATAATCTTGATAAGCTTTGAAAATCCTGTTTTTTCCTTCAGTTTTCTAATTTTTATTTAATGTTGTTAGTACTCAAGGTAGCCATTCTAACCTCATGATTGTATATCCTCATTTGTAATTCACGTGCACCGGTCGTTCGATCGAAGAGGTGGCTTTCATTTAGTAGATCATGAAGAAAATCCTGTTTTAATACATGTGTAACACTTGGGCACTGTGGTAGTATGTAATTCAATATTTATTTGTTTATTAGATGCATATATCACACAGTGAAGAGACAGTGTTATTATTTACTGAATGACGACGCCTTTCGAACACTATTCATTGTTCATAATCATTACCTGGAGCGTCGGTGGCATAGCGGTTAGGACTCTCGCCGACCATGCACATGGTCCGGGGTTCTATCCCCGGTCGACGCACTCCTTTACCTCGCTAAACCAGAAATAAAAGCTGGTAAAGAGGAAAGGTTGGGCATGAGGCTAGCAACCTCATCTGTAAAAATAAACACTGCTGCAGAAACTTCAAGCCATTAGCTTGAAGCCCTATGTTTCACTGGGAACGTGAAGGAATAAAAGAAAATCATTACCTCAATTATAATCACACAACTTCGAAACTTCCGTTTTATAATTTTCTTTATTCTTTTCCTATTCGTTGTCGTAGGAATTAGGGTGGCATTTAGACCTACAAACTCACTCAGACAGAGACGAGCTCTGTAGGTTAAAGGACCCTATCGGTTGACCCAATCAGACAAAATAGTATAATTTACAAAATACCCTACAATGACTGTGAGGTCAACTACATACGTCAAACAAGTAGGTCAGGGGGTAGTCAGATTGTCAGAACATAAGAATTTAGCTAAGGGAAGAATGGTTGACCCCGTGAAGATGAGTAGTTTAGAAAAAAGTTCAGCAATTGCAATGCATGCATTAACACACAACCACACAATAGGGTGGGAGAGGGTTAAAATTCTAAAAAGTAATCTAGATAGGTGGAGAGAGAGTTTGAATACTGAATCCTAGTGCATCGAATAATCTACACCCAACACATTCGATAGGAATGATTCATCACTCATACCCGAAATATGGAAAATACTACTACCAATCAAATCAAGCGAAAATCAAGTGAAAAATAATGGAACTATATAAATGAAGTTAGGAAGTTGTGTGAGTACCTTGATATGATTATGAGCAGCAATAAATTGTGCTCGAAACGTCATCAGTAAACATTACTGTATAACACTGTGAGACTTCATCGAAAGAAATAAGTTTTTGCGCCCTATTACACTTATGTATTTCACCAATCCTGTTTCTCCTGACCATGGGATGAGATGATCGGAAATCCAAATATGAGTTTGGATGTGTGGGTTTTCTGTAAACACTCCTCATCTTCTTTCCTTTTTACTCTACAATCTAACGCTGGAAGGTCCTTCCCCTTCTTGACTTTCTAATTCACAAATGAATTGAATTGCTTCTACCTTCGATTCGATGTGTTCGAAAAATCTATTTTTGTCGTGTGTTCTAAGTGTATAGTAAATGTGTCATCTACACACCTCCAGTTTACTTCTGGGGTGGGGCTGAACATTTCCTATTACTAAGTTTTCCCACCTATTCGTGGATGTGTTCAACACAATCAGGGATATTGTTGACACCATAGCTACTCCTTCAGTTTGTTGATATATTTTCTCTTCACTGTGTGATATACCTAACAAACAAATTAATATGAAGCTAAATGTATTTCCTTTCTCCAAAAGTGAGTCAACCAGGCATTATTGTGAATCTGTAGTCTTCATCTCCCTACACAGAAAGTTCTAGTAGGATATTTCGTCAATGAATATAATATTTATTTGATCATACTACTTGATAACTAATTTCTCAATATAATCCTGGCATTTATGGGATTAATTGTAACGTTAAATAGCCTTCAGTAGTGCTATCAAGTGATGTAGGCTTGAGCTCTTGATGTGATCTGATTTTCTACAGTACACTGAAATTTTCAGCTTTGTATCAGACAAACTCTAAACATATAAAAGAACTCTTTCATTTATTCTTAGCAGTTGATGATATTGTTGAGTATTCATGATTCAGGATATTACTGTTGACCAGCCATGAAAATCTTGTTAAACCAATAGCAATTGAATGCAAAAATAAACCCGGTTAGTTGATAATAGATAAGCAGTCTATTTTTGTGGCTATGAAGCCTAATACAGCCTGATTCACTGAATTTATCGACACATCTTGGCTTCCAACACAACTTAACGTTATCTATGGAGGTATAGGAAGGCAAAGCACACTTCATATCTATTTTATGCTGGTAACGAATTCTTCAAGTGATTGGAATCACAACGTTGCGTAAGGAATCATAGAATAACAGAGTGGCATCTTATTGGACGAGCACATTACCATGAAGCGGGGGGGATTAATTGTAAGTTGACTAGTTCGTTATTCCCAAATTTCGTTAACTGGCTAATTGGACCTTTATCAATTCGTTAGCTGTATCTTGGTGATGAATTGAATATTACGAAAAGGCTACTGCCCATCGCTGCTTTATTTCTCCATAGTCCTCTGACTGGATTTTGTTGCATATTGATGAAATAGTGTTCTGAATTTCATCAGATCTTTGTTTCCAGAGCGTGGATGTTACAAATTTCCTGGGAATAATCTAACCGCCGAGTCATATTGACATCGTTATAAATTATTTAAAATAATCCCAGTGTGTTGAAGAAAAATCAAAACAAGATTTTTTTTCTCAACGCTACTCTCTGTGTAAGTTGCTGCCAGCTTCTTCACCAGAATTATTCGGATTTTATCAATTATCAAAATTTACATTCAAAAGTTGAAGTCAGTTTCTTTGAAGTTGGCTCACCTGTCAGCAGACATTTGTACCAATAGAAAAATGTAAACAGTCATCACATATTTGTAATGACTAATGTCAACTTGTCATGCGTGCATATCAATCTGTATCAGTGTATGCGTGTGTGCGTATGTTGTTTGTTAATTTAGGAACAAGTCAAAACACGATAATATTTCACAGTGTTCATAATGTAAGACTGAATATTTCTGTATTTTCTCTCATCTGTTTTGGCTTTATTAGAGAGAGTCTGCCATATAGGTGATAAGTCTACCCCTTATCTCCTATTTACTGCATTATTATTATTATTATTGTTCCTAGTGGAATATAAGGCTTCAACTGCACGCCTCCACTTGCTTCTGTCTTCTGCTGTAATTTTCACTTGCATCCATGTTATTCCATACTGTTTCAACTCCTCTTCACATGATCTCCTCCATGTCACCCTTGGACGTCTCACTCGCCTTTTCCCTTTCGGGTTCCAATCGAGCACTGGCCTGACGCGCGATGTCACCCAACGGCCTCCTCAGCGAGTGTCCAATCCATCTCCACTTTCTCGTGCATATTTGTTGGGTGATTGGTTCTTGTTTTGTTTGTTCCCATAGTTTCTTGTTGGTGATTGTTTCCAGCCATCTGATCTTCAGTAGGTAGAGCGAAGACAATTGTTGATAAAGGTCTGCAACAGGCTGTTGGAAATATTCTTTGTGACCCGCCAAGTTTCTGATCCATCCGTATAGAAGAACTGACTGACTTGACGTTTGTGTTGAAAATCCGAATTTTGTTGTTGATGCAGGCTGAGTGACGAAGATTTCCAGGTTGGTTTCAGGTTTGTGAATGTGTTTCTCGCCTTCCCGATTCTCGATTTGACATCTTCGTCCGTTTCTCCTGTAGTTGAGACAATGCTCCCTAGATAAGTGAATGAAGTAACCTCTTTCAAATCCCTCCCGTTGATGGTGATTGGCGCTGGATGTTGCTGCTGTTGTTGTTGTTGGTGGTGGGTAATTTTCATAACCTCCGTCTTGTCGATGTTCACCTGGAGTCCTGTCTTTGCTGCTTCTTCTACCAATTTGTCGGTTTCCGCTTGTAAGTCTTCGATTTTGTGTGACATCAAACATAAATTATCCGTGAAATCCAGGTCTTCTAGGTTCTTCACGTCGGTCCAGGATATCCCTGTCTTCTCGATTTACTGCATTCGATTTGGTTAAAATATCCAAGGATTCAGAGCTCAGTCTTTCTTCATGTGTTGAAAGAAAGCCTCTTACTAGATTCTCGACATTGTCGAAATCATTCTTATGTCCACTGTCTATACCGTATGCATTGGTATAGCTGATCCTTTTTCTAGACTTTTTAATTCTACTTCATTCCTAGGTAGACGTTTCGTGCGTAGTCTATGTTCATTCACTCAAACCTTCACCTGTCTACTGCTCTCCCCTATATAGTAAGCAAGCTTCACATTCTGAACACTTTATCCTATAGACACAGTTGTTTAGCGTCATTTTGGGAACCATTAAACTATACAGTCAAAAATTACACAAATTCTCTGAAGGTCACTTGTTGGTAGACATTTGAACCAATAGAAAAAGGCGAACAGTCATCACATATTTGTAATGACTAATGTCAAACTGTCATATGTGGGAAAACAGAAAAATGAAAAATCTTGGCTATCAATCGATGACAGCCATATCGAAAGGATACGGCTGAACAACTTCAAAGAGTACTTACTTCATAAAATATTAAAGTCTATTTCAAGTCCTCTAATTCTCTAGGGAAAATTTTGGTGAATATCAGAGATGTAGTTGCCAAAATTACACAAAACCACTGTGTCTATAGGATAAAGTGTTCAGAATGTGAAGCGTGCTTGCTATGCAGTTTAGAGCAGTAGGTGAGTGAAGGTCAGAGTGAATGAACATAGACTATGGACGAAATGTCCACAAAGGCATGAAGTAGAATTAAACAGTCTAGAAAAAAGATCGGCTTAGCAATGCATGCTACAGAC